CTCTTGGTAGGTAATCCATTAAAGCACACACAATAATCTTTATCCCATTTCAAAATCTTTTACAATTTTTCTTGATTATCTTAACTAAAACCTAGAAACAACCCAGAGATCCATCAACAGTAGAATGATGTCTATACAGCAACAGAAATTTTAAAAACCCTGTAACAGTGCTGGGCGTGGTGTCGCATGCCTGTAATCCCAGCACTCAGGAGGCTGAAGCAGAGGGACCTGTTTGAGGTCATTCTGGGTACACTGCATGTTAAGGAAACACTGAACTGCCAGTGAGACCTTGTCTCAAAAATCAAACAAACAAACAAAAAAAAACCAGAGCAAAATAAAACCAAAACCCTACAGTCTCATGCAGCAATGTAAATTAATGTCATTAGCCTAGTACAGTGCACAAGAAGCTAGCATGACGTTATACACTATATGATCACATTTACATTAAGTCAAGTAAAGCTGCTTTTTTTGTGGTGCTGGTAACTGAAGCCAGGATTGAAGACCCAATGAGCTGGCTTTTTTTTTTTTTTTTTTTAATTTTCAGACAGTGTCTTGCTAAGTCACTAAGTTGCCCACAGTGGGCTTGGATTTAGGATTCTCTTGCCTTAGCCTCCCAGAGACCTTGGATCACTGGTGTGCACCACCATTCCTGACTTCAACAAGGAAAATTTATGTAAAGTATCAGGTCAGTGTTGTGGTTAACGTTACTTTTATTTTATTTTTAATTACTTTTTATTTTTTATTTTTTTGGTACCAGGGATTGAACTCGGGTCCTTGAGCTTGCAAGGCAGGCCACTGAACCACTGAGCTAAATCCCCGGCCCAACGTTACTTTTAAATTTGGATTTTTTTTTTTAAAACTGGGAAGGCCCTTCTGAATCTTTGCAGTTCTGTTGTGTTATGTATATGCTGGTAACTGGTGCCTTAACATTGAAGATTCCCAGAACTATACTTACAACTAGTGACTTGTGCTTTTTTGGGGGAGAGTGATGGTGCTGAGGATTGAATTTAGTGCCTTGCACATGCTAGGCAAGTACCTTAATACTGAGCCCTACCTGCTGCCCTGATCTGTGCTTCTTGAAATATTTAGTATCTTTCAGTAAGGTTTGCCAGCCACAGTTCTTCATTTTACCAGTGTCTTTAGGAGAAGATGGTGTTATGAGTGTGTACTGTTGTCCTAATTCCATGGGATTGTAAAGCATTATTTTTATCCTTGTATTTGATTGAATTTTCCATTTTGTAGTTGGTCAGACATTAGGATTTCAGAAGCAAGTCTGTTTCTTGGGGATGGCTGGCCTTCATTTTCTTTTAGAATTCCCTAGAGGTAAGCACTTATACAGCTCTCTCAGAATTTTTATAGCCTTTTCTCTGTGTGTATTATTGTCTGAGCTGCTGTAATTTCCTTTTGCGTTAGATTAAGTTGTGAGTTTCTAAACTTGTATTTCTCCACCACTTTTTTGGTTTGGTATGTAATTTGCATATTTTCACCATGCGAAAGCTATTTTCTATGGTTGGAAAAGATTTTTTTCCTACAGTGTGAACAAATCATTCTTTGTTCTCCTTATTGTGCCTCCAAGCTGGTACGTCCGGTTTATGCTCCAAACAACAAAAGTCTGTCATCAGAAATTAAAATGCCAGGAAGAACAAAGGCAGACACCATGAGGAGCTCTCGGAGCTCCCTGTTTGCTCCTCTCCCATGTTAACCACAGTTGCCAGGAAGTTGGAGCACTGCTTGGTACACTTCTTCCTTGAAGTTCTATTCTTGCATTTATTGTTATTGTGGGTTTAAAAGTGAACTTATAGCTCTGTAATTTTCAGGACCTATAAAATCTGAGCTACTTTTAAGAAACCTAAAAGTCACATTTGACAGCCCTTTCTGTGAAAGCAGTATCACCAGTGAACATACTGGATGAAATTATTAGAGACACTTTAGAATGGAGTCTCTAAGGACATGACCATGCTCTTTGTGTCCTGTCTGCCTTCTCCTCTTCCTCCTCTTTCCTTCCTTTCTTCTTTCTTTGTACTAGGAATTAAACTCGGCCTTCTCAATGAGTTACAGCCTTATTTTTTATTTTTAGACAGGGTCTCACTATGTCTCCGAGTTGCCCAATCTGGGCTCAAACTTGTGACCCTCCTGCCTGAGCCTCCCAGAATGTTCTGTGTGTCCTTTCTAAAATGTACACAGCACATCTTGTCTCTCTGTATATGTTTCTGTTCTGAAGAGGTACACTAATACAGACTGTTTGCATACTGTTTGGAGAGTTTTTTCCTAGGAAGGCTGGCGTTTATGACTCATAGGATAGTTTTGAATCACGCTTCTAATTTCAGTGTGTTGTACAGTCATGACTTTATTCACAGATATCTGCAAATGTGACATAATGCTTCCTTCTTATCTCCCTTTCCCTGTGTCATAAAGATTCTAGGGTCTTCAAGGAATTAAAAGAATGGACAGTGAATGTGTAGATACATTTTATAAACAATTCCAAGGTCTTTTCCCTCTTGCTTTATCAGATTTTTTTCCACCTTACCTATGAAGAAGGATTTCTAATAGAATACTAGAATAGAGCACATGGTTTGTTTTGAACATTGCTTTTTTCCTCCTAAAAACCATATTGTGTTTAGGTTTCAAAATGTTTTTCTATGTCAAACTAAGCTCTTGTGTATTAAATACAGTGATGGTAAACTTCTGTCATATTGTGAGTGTATGAATTGTTTTTTTTCTTTTTTCTTTTGGTACTGGGGATTGAACTCAGTTCCTTGTGCTTGCAAGGCAGGCGGTGGAACCACTGAGCTAGATCCCTGGCCCCAGATTTGGTTTTTAAAAATTATTTAGTATATTTGAGTACAGAGATTCTGTTAAACATGATTAAACTTTTTTTTTTAACATTAAGGCTTTATTTGATACAACTCAAAGTTAAATATCACACCCCTGGCACATGGAAATGATAGTTTAGAATAGTAGATTTTATGTTAGAATATTCTTTTTTTTCTCACTGAGTTTATTGGTACTTTTAAGGTATATAGTACAGTTACATTCATCATTGGGATCTTGTACCTTTACGTGACAGGTCTTGGTTCTCATTTTTTCCCCTTATCCCTGCCCTCCCTTCACCCCCTCCTCCCTTCCCTATTTACAAAAACCTTTTTTCCATTTTTTTGTTTGATGTTAGAATATTCTTAATTTGTTACACAAGTGAGAAGTGTTTTTCATTACCTAGAATTACAATTTCCATGTAAACTCTAATATTATTTTAATATTTTCTTATTATAGAGATATTATGTATATTATTATGATTATTGTCACTTCCTCAGTACAAACAATTGATTATCAAAATATAAATCACTTTGTCATCGTGCTATTTATTCTTTTGTCTGTTGATGAAATTTCAAGAATTAGAAATGTGGGACTAGCCAAAAACACATCAGTGGATTACATTGAATGTCACTTTGTGTGTGTGTGTGTGTGTGTGTGTGTGTGTGTGTGTGTGTATACATATATACATATATATATGCACTTAAAAATCAAGGATAGTGTCAATTAAAATTTAGGTAATATATGAAGTGGAAAATTGAGCACAGTAACCATTTAATGAGGTCTCAATTTCAAACTCTTTTCTGTGGCAATAAAAGGTACACTTAAGAGCTGCAGTGTATGATGGGGATGAGTTTCATTTTGAAAATGCAGGGCCACAAGGGAAATTTAAAATAGATGAGTTCTCCTGGTGGGCTGCACTTATAGCTTTTGAGCGTTTCCTTGGTGATAGGTGGTGCTGTTGTTGCACAGTTGATCCTTGGAGGCTGTGCATGCCCTGTATCCCACGTACTGTGCAAGGGTTTGCTGGTACGGGCAGTAATTTGTAATAATTATCATAGATGAAGTGAATATTTATAGGAGAGAAAAACTTTATAGTTTGAAGCTTTTAAATTGAGGTAGAAGAAAAGCGGAAAAATCTTAAAAAGTACTTCTTCTAAAAGGTACCTCTGCAGATGTATAGTTTAATATGGGAAGACTTATAGCTTTTTAAAATGTATACATTTTTGATATTTTAAACTGCTTATTGGACAGGCCTATTAAAATATCAAAGTGTGTTTCTTCTATTGAACTTTTATTTTTATTATATTTATGACAAGTTCTTGGGTATTTAGAACTAGTTTTACAATACAAGCCTTTTTGTCTGATATTATATACTCCATAAAATGCTAGATAATTATGAAAATGTGTTGAGAGCTGCACGACCACTTCAGTACATCTGCATTACGTTCTTTAATTAATCTGCTGTAAATATCAGTCGTTAGTTGAAAAGCAGTGTTTTCACACTGGATAGTGAAAACACTAGTTTTCACACTAGCATACCCCTTTACCATTTGGATTAACAGAATACTGTGCTCTTTATATCTGAGGAAACTGATTATCACTCAAATGAATGGACCTTCATGTAGCATTTGATCTTTTTGTACAGTAAAAATGCTATCTGAATTTGCTTACATATAACTTTTTGTTCACAGAATATTGAAATTAAAGGTATCTAGGAGATCATTTTGCCAGCTTTTTCTTGTTTTATAATTGAAGAGGAACATAGGCTTATATATAGTTAAATGACTTACTCAAAGCTAAAACATCATTCCAGAAACATGACCGGTTGTAGTAATTGGTGAAAGTCACTACAGTATGTCAGTTGCGATTTCCAGAATAGTAACATAGCTCTGAAGTGTAAAGCAGACATGCAGAAATTTTATGGTTTTTTTACATTTAGTAAAATGAGTATTAATAGATTTCCAAGACAGATTGCATTTTTTCCAGTTCATATAGAATATGGGCTCTTATTTTTCTACAAATGCTTGATAATTTATGAATATACTTGATGTGTATGATAAGCCTAAAATGAATGTGGGTCTTGTGTGGCTGTATGTATTTTTAAGGCAAATTAAGATAAAATTTGCCTCTAATGATGTGACCTACATTCTACTTTACTGAACTTTTTTCTCTCTTCTTGTATGCAGATTAGTGGTGAAGCACAGGAGCTCTTCTCTGTTCGACATGGCCCAATTCGAGCAGCTAGAATCTTACCTACTCCACAGTTTGGTGAGTAAAGCCCTGAAGAAAAAACAAATCATTGAGAGTTTCTTTTGTTGTCCTGGACTAGACAGTAAGAATGATAACTAAAGTCTGTTTTCCTCCAAGTGTCCATTCCCCTTCCCCTCCTCCCCGCAAGATAAACTCTTAGTTCTGTCAGTTGAGATGGAAATAGGTAATCTTAACCAATTCAATATGGCTATTCACTTTCTGCTGTGGTTTTGATTTATCTCCATCCTCTTTGATCTCAGTTTAGCCTCTGCTTTTGCTAGTTCTTTCTCCAAGCCCTCTTCTCTCTTGGTTTTCATGGCATCGTTCTTCCCAGATCCCTTCTTTGCTGACTGTGCCGCCTTTGTTATGCTTCTGGCTTGGCTTTCTTCTGTGGGTATTCCCCAAGTCTCTGTTCACATGCTTTGCCCTTCATCTCAGTGATACTTACTGACTTGGAGAGCTTGGTTTTCAGCATTATCTCCGTTGTAGGTGACTGCTGTCTGCGTCTTCAGCTGTGTCAGAAGTGGATTTGGGGCTGTTAGCCTTACAAATCTGCTTTAACAGTGAATACTTCTTAATGTTGTGTTTAAATAGTATGTATGCTTTACATTTATGTAGAAAAGTACAAATGTATGTTTATATTAAATCTGCTTTGCTATTTGGATATAAATAACTCCATACTTTGAACTTTGAAAAGGTTGTGTTTTCTCATTAACTTGCATGTTTTCACTCAGGAATATTTTGCATGTGCACCAAAAGTATAATCATATTAATCACATTTGAATACTTTGAAACCTTTTAAAAAAGATATTAAAATATTTTAATTATATTATATTTCAAAAGATTATTTTAATTTGGAAAACCATCTAAGGTTTACAAAAGTTCATTCTCTAAATTGGTGAAAATGATATTTACTAAAACTTTGGACAGTGTGATTGTACATAAGTAATTTTAGGGATTAATTTAGTGATTAAATCAGCTTAAATGAAATGAGAAGGGGGGGAGTAACAAGGCAACAGGATCCTGCAGTCTTGTGTTTCTCCCTTGCTATTCAATTATGTGACACATACAGATTTCAGCTCCATATCTGTCTGTCTCTCCCTCTTTGCCTTCTCTCCATCCTCCCAGGTATGCCCCTTTGCTTGAATTCTTTCTCCTCATTTGATTTCTGTTGTATTTTGTAATTTGGTAAAAAATTTTAACAACGAATGTTCTAGACCTTCTGATATAGTTTTTGCAATCATGAACTTTATTTTTGGAGGATTGGCGTCAAGAACTTTACTACTAAAGGACTCTGCTTTGTTTCCTGTGTGTGTAATTCACAAAGGCAGATTTTTACCTTTTTATGAATGTTCAACTTTTACTTGTGGCAAAAATGCTCCATGAAAGTATCAAACCATGAAAAGTTAATATTGCTAGTATAATTTTATGTAAAAGTCTCTTTAATTTACTTTGCTATTTATTAAAAGATTTCTCCATATAATATACTTATATAAAATTGTTTAAAGTATCATTTTACATGGGTAAATGTTGTTATGACTTAAAAATTAATTGTAGCTTTTATCATATTTGGTAAATTTTTTGATTTACTTTTATTAAATATAATAAATAAAACAGATCCCATAAAATTTGTAATAAAAAACAGTAATATCCCAGTGCTCTTTCTCCCATTGTGGTTTATTTCTTCTTTTTGGTGGAAGAGTTCTTTAATAGCTTCCTGGAAAAGCATGTGGGAGACCTTGCTTGTCTGAAGATGTCTTTATTCTTTAACTCTTGATGGATAATTTGGCCTGGATAGCAACTACTTGTTTCTAATAATTTTAGTTCAGAATTTAGAAGGCATTAGTTTAGAGTTATATGGGAGAATTGAAGCCATTTTGACATCTTTTTCTTTATATGTAGCTTGTTATTCTTTGTGGGAGCTCATAGAATGTTGCCTTTGTTCCTCAGGTTCTGAAATTTTGCAGTGTGGTGTCTTGATTTGTACTTTGTTCTGGCCCCCTTTAAAGTGGAAATGCAAGTTAAATGGTTTTGAAAAATTGTTTTCAGTTGATGTTGGGGAATTTTTCCCTTAGGTTTTCTCCCTTTCTGTAACACTTATTATTTGAGTTTTACACCTCTTGCACTAGTTAATTTAAAAAAGAAAACTCACTATTCTTTTGGGGAGATTGTCTCATTGTGACTCTCCTATTGAACAATCTTTTGGTGATCATGTTTTTCTGTATTCAGTTTCTCATTCCTAACTCCTTTTGCCTCCTTTGCACTCCTGCTCTTCTTCTCTCCCTTTATTCCTTGGTATGATTTACATATAAACATCGGTTAGCAATTAGAATCCAGTAAACATAAAATGAATTACTCATCATTTGAGTAAAATTTATTCCAGGAAAAACAAGGATGGTTAACATTTGAAAGTCAATGTAATTTACCATATTAGAATGAAGAAAACTCATACGATCATCTCAACAAAAGTAGAAAATAATCTTTGACAAAATTTCATAGCTATTTATAAAAAAGTTTTAGTAAACTAGAGCTAGAAAGAAATTTTCTGAATATGATAAAGATTATCCATTAAAAAAATCTATCATACATCCTACTCAGTGATGATATATGGAATGCGTCCTGCTGAGTGCAGGATGGCTTCTGTCACTATGGCTTTATTGCAGGTCCTAGCCATTTAAATAAGACAAGAAAAAGAAATAAAACATATAAATATTAAAATGTAAGATTGTCTTCATTCATTGGTTGTATGATGATGAATTTCTTTCTTTCTTTGTTTTGGTACCAGGGATCAAACTTGGGTACTTGAGCTTGTGAGGCAGGTGTTAGAACCACTGAGCTAAATCCCAGCCCTGTGATAATGAATTTAGAAAACGTAACAGCATCTATAAACTGTGAGCAATAATAAGTGAATGTAGCAGAATTGCTGCATGGTTCAGTACAAGGTACATACAAATTCAAATAAATCTATTGCTTTCATTCTGACCATAGAAGGAGTCTCTGCAGATGTGATTTCTGAAGTATTTATGGGCCAGATTTCTGGCACTCATCTCAAAATACTGGGCAACAATTTGGTTTATTTTCTTTTGATTATTTCAGTGTCGATTACTGCTTGAAAGTTGCTAGTATTTTCAGTTGTGCTTTACAAGGTATTCACAATGTAATACCTCACAATGTTAAGAAAAAAAAAGGTTGCGGGGGGCAAACAAAGGTACAGGAAAAAATACTACATTTAAAGAAACGTAATCTAGATTCCCCTTTCTTCCTGCTTTGGAATGCCTGTGGCAACAATTTTCTGTTGCCTGTTGTTTGATACACAGTCCACCTATGCAGGCAAATACAGTAGTTCCCTCCCTCCCACTCCCACTCTCTCTCTCTCACTCTCTCTCTTTTTCTCTCTCCTTCCCTCTTTCTCTCTGTCTTTATCTAATGATATGAATAACTATTTACTTTTCTTGAAACAGGCATGGACAGAACAAATTCAGAGTTTTGAGTTTATGATTCATAATTTGCTTTTTGGGGTGATAAATTCATAGCTGGTACACTTTTTGCATGCTGATGCCCAGCATTTTTAAAGGTAAAAGTACCCATTTCATTCTTTAGATGACTTAAATGTGGTTTGTACCATGTTCAGAGAAGTATTTTATTTTCTATGAAGTCAGGATTTATGACGAAGTTCTGTAGGAGTGCTTGCTATAACTTTTTTTGTTGTAACATTTTAATGACTGGTTAAATAAGTGCGAACCCTATAAAACACAAAGACACACACACACACACACACACACACTCACGTCTGGTCAGCCACAACAGCAGCAAACTTTCAAAAGTAGGCCAACTGACATTTGCTTACTGTCATCACCAGTGTATTGCAAAGACAAACAACACAGGCTTATTGACATTTTAAATAGCTAAACTACAAGATTTAGGGCTTCCTTAATGTTTTCTGCTCTAATTACTTCTCAGTTTACATCATATATTGAATATTTCTTTGATAACACCTAGTTTCATCATTCAGGCCTTCTAGTGACTAGATTTTAATATTTTGCCAAGTACAGTGACTTAGGTAAATTGTAACTTGGGCATATATGTTCTCTTCCTCTTGAGCTTTGTTGTTTTTGGTCAGAGGATATGTTTCTAGTGTCTGCTTTTGAGGTACTGCTTTTTGTGATGTTATGACATTGGGTCTGACAAGTCATGTATCTGAACCCTTTAATTAGGGACTTTTCCTCTGTGGGCTACAGAGACAGGAAGTATCCTGAACAGAAATGAGAGGAAGGAAGTTTCTAAATTATGTGAATTGTAATGCTTGATGATAGTTTTCAGATGAAATGCTCCATTAATTATATAATATACCTTGTTGCCACACTTCTGCAGGTTGAGTAGCATTATTCTCATTTACAAGTGAGGAGACTTGAAGCTCAGAGAGATTATGTGATTGGCATAGTCAGTCACACAGTTGTTAAGTGGTGGAGCTGAAATTTGTGTTGTGAATCTTACTTTACTTTGGCCTTACAGTTCCCCATGAATATGGTTTTTCCATTACTATAGGGAACATTTTTGCCAAACTCAGGTATTTCTAGCCTGAATCTCTCATAGCAGAAACCACACACGTGTGGATTTATTAGAATATGTAACAATTACTATTTTTAATCTTTTCTTTTTCATTTTGGACTTTGGTTACCTCAATGTCTTAATAGTGTTTGGAGACCTTGGTTGGTTGTTTAGTCTAAAGGTAAAGAAGAATGAAAATAGTTAATATGGGAACCAATATATAGAAAAACCATTTTTTACACTATGACATTTAAAATTTAAACTGTTGGGGTAAAGATAATAGATAAATTTGTTTGCTTTTAATTAAATCAACTTTAAAAAAATTCAGTCAATTTTTAACAGACATAACAATTCCTTTTTATGTGACTTGGAATAAACTAACGAAAGTACATAAGATATCTCAGATCAGATTTAGAAAAAAAGGTGTAACATGAAGCAACTAAATTACATGTGAGCTTAATGATTCTGAC